CATAGTCCCAATCTGATTTAAATAAGATCCTAGTTTTTTTTTGTTTTGTTTTTTTAATCAGATTGTGCATAGTCCTAGGTTCATTGAAATGTGATGATGAATACTCTATAAAAGTTTCAATAAAATCCAATTAGTGGTTCTTTATATATATCAGTGGAACATTCATGGAAAAAATTAACTAATTATGCGAATTAGGTAATTAATATCCACAATTATTTACCCTAAAACTAATCAGGTCTCTGTATTGTCCTAGAGGATCTATGTAGCAAGTCTCATTGAAATATGATGATCAGTACTTGAGTTATCAGGCGAAAAACTGAAAATTAACTAATTATGCTAATAAGGTAATTAATATGCACAAATATTTACCCCAAAACTAATCAGGTCTCTGCACAGTCTTTAAGTACATGTAACTATGTACCAAGTTTCATTGAAATGTGATGATTACTACTAGAAATATCAAAAGCTGAAATTTAATTAATTATGCGAATTAGGTAATTAATATGTACTGATATTACAATAAAAACTATCAGGTCTGTGCAGTGTCCTATGACATCTATGTACCGAGTTTTATTGAAATGTGATGATTAGTACTTGAGATATCATTGGAAAGCCAAATATTGATTAATCATTATGCAAATTAGGTAATTAATATTGCAGAGATTTTTAACCAAAACTAATCAAATCTGCGCATTAGTTCAGAGCATCTATGTGCCAAGTTTCATCAAAATCCAATGAATGGTTCTTTAGATACCAGTGGAACAATCACGGAACAGCTAAAAAACAGCTAATTATCATGCAAATTAGGTAATTAATATGCATCGATTTTTACCAAAACCTAATCAAATCTGCACATTGGCCCAGAGCATCTATGCACCAAGTTTCATCCAAAAATCAATGTATGGTTCTTGAGATATCAGTGGAACAGACACACACACAGACAAACACATACAGACAGACAGACACACACACACACTAACTGCAAAGACTCCCTCTTTGTGCTTCGCACACAGGAGTCAAAAATGTATCAAATTTTAGATTAGCGTCTGCAATAGTTTTTTTTTCGTCTTGGGTGTCCCAACTGCTGACGTAGTTGGCTTTTTTCAGAAAATATTTGATGATCTTTTTTTGAAATTTTGAACCCCAAATAATAAGGGCAATTTTTCTGTTGGGCAAATTTACGACAGAATCCGGTAGTTAGTTGGCGTCCAGTGGAGAGAGAAGTCAACAGTACTGTTGCCTCCTGAGAATCTACATCTTCAAACACTTCAATCTTTGTTTTTGAAGTGCGTTTTGAAAGCTCTATCATTCTGTTCTAATAAGCTGAAACAAATTCCTGTAAATTTTCATTTGTCAAATACATATTTTTGAGTACAATTTTCTTTTCAAAAAGTGGATGCAACGTTTTGCTTTTTATGTATTTTTTATGTATTGTCTCTGATTAGATAACTAAACAGATCTTGATAAAAGTTTGGCACCCAGTTCATAGGCGTGCTTATATTGATTTTCTGACATCTTGTTTTCTGTAAAGATTTTATTGGAAGATTTGCAAATGTGTCAGACTATCCAAAAACTCTCTCCATGAGTTGGTTTTGAAACCCAGTCTCCCAGTATTCCCATGGGATTACCAAGGATATTATTACAAGATAAATGATTTGCTTCATTGAACACATACAACAATGCATATTTCCACTAAGATCAGTAACCTTTGAATGTGTATCACCAGTGATCAGTCAAGTAGAAACAATCAAAATATTTTATCAGATTTTCTCAATTTTTGCATATTTTCATACAGGACCAGGGTGTTAGCCAGCCACCAGTCCACCCACCAAACGAACTGGCAACTTTGATTTTGGACTGGCAACTTTTTTCAATTTTTATGTTTTTTTCCTATTATTATTTGATAATTTTACTAAAATATATTCAAAACAGTCTACATTTTTCATGAAGTTGAATTGTTTTGGACTGGCAGTTGCAAATTCCTGGCTAATAGCCTGTACAGGACATCTGTTATTCATACTCTGGGAAGACTCTATACTGATGAATAAGGTGATAAGATTTGATGAAGTTTGGAATAGAATTGGTAAAATTATTGTCCACACAATAACAATTATTAACAACGTTGACAACGCCGGACAGCAATTTTTCCCTTAATATACCTTATGCAGAAGTTGAAAATGTTACAGCCAAACTCTCCCCAACCACCAACATTGGTAGAGGATAGGAGTATGATCAATACACTAGGTTGCCAGTTAAATATAAACTAATGCACAACTGTGTCTAAAAGTATGATGACAGCATAGTACTTACAAATTTTCCAGATGTTTCAGTGGAGCAAATGCATTTGGGTGAATCTCTTCAATTGCACTTCGTTGCAAATCGCTGTGGAATAAGAAAGACAAACAATAGGTAGCAAATCGAGTTTGAATCATTCGTTATATTTGCATTTATCTATAGTGTAGCCAAGTTGAACTTATCATTGCATAAACTCCTTCCACCAAGACTTAGGCAGTCAAAAGCAAAATTCACATTTATATATACTTACAATAGAAAAATAACTTACAGGTATTGGAGATCAGTCAGGCCAACAAAGGCATCTTCCGGTATAATGGTGATGTAATTGTTATTCAAGGTTAAATCACGTAGTTTGAATAATCCAATAAATGGCTTGCCTTCCAATGATGTAATAGCAGTACCACCCAGATTACTAATAAGTAGCAAAATAGTATTATATTAAATGTACAATCAAAACTGTATAAACCTGCAACAAATCAAACCAGTAAGGCTGGCTGCAATGTGACTAATCAATTGTAGCAGTTTTTGACTATTCGCCAAGAAAGTGTTACCTGGTTAATTCTGGTATTAAAGTTTAATCATACATGTATCAGATGCAACAGATTTCAATTTTAAGTTTTCTAATTCACAATCTGCCAGTTTGCTACAAGAACGGAGACGGAGACAAAGTGGTATTAGTCATACATGTACGTCAGATTACAGAAGCAGTACAGTAGCATAATCACGTATCATTCAATGTTTCATTTCATTCTATTTCATGAGGATGGATTCATTGTTTTATTTATACACTGTTTTCCATGTTTGAGGATGGGGTTGGATCTCCAATCAGCTACGCAGGCAAGGCAGCAGTACAGTAATACAATGTTCTACCACCAAATTTGTTAAATTAGGATTAGGATTGGGATCAGATGGGGGTGGTAATAAATTCCGGGTCTTAACTTCTGACAAAGTGAAACGCCCAACTGCAGGGTACCACTAAAGTCTCCTTGCGAAGAGCAGCCTAGCAACTGAGAATTCTTTTTTCTTTCACCTGATGTCTGTGTGTATCAAAGTGAATGCCCTGTGCACGGTTGGGATATTACAACATAATACAGGTATCTCTTTGCGTCCATGGTTTAATATAAACAATCAACACCAGGAACCGGCAACTGATATGCTACAATTGCATTAGTAAAAACATGAAAACATTTTACTCAGCATAAACTTGTTGCCGATAGAACAATTTGTACTGAAAATTACATGTACACTGTGGTATAAACAACGTTTACTCCAACAGAAGCAGCATGTCAGTCTAGTTATCCAATGAATTACGCATAATGCCATCTGAACACTAACATACAGATATTACAAACTTAAGGTAGCAAGACTATTATTTGTGTTGAAAATTACGATTTTCACATTTATTTATTAATTGATGAAATGCACTATAAACTTTCATCTGATAAAGTCAACGTAACCTAGAATGTCATGTAAGTTGATTAAAATGTAGATTTTCTGAAGGGAAGCAAGGCAGCTTCAGTACTGTTTTCCAAAATCAACAACACAGGTTTAATCTGTGTGCCTATAAGTTTCAAAGATTAACTCAAGACAAAGCAATGTTAGGAT